GACCAAAATGTAATTTTGGAAAAATTACAAATGGATCACGAAAATATGAAATAAAAATATTATTTTCACATTTTTTTTAAATGTTGGAAAATAATATTTAATGGTTTAATTTCATGTTTAACTTGAATGGTTTGATTAAAGTGACTGAATTACAATTTTTGGAAATTACAAGGGCAAACCGGTAAAGTGGAAGACTAATTTGTTGATCTTTGACTATTATAAGATGATAAGGCTGATATTTCTCTAATTTGGATGGAGATAAGAATAAGTATCTAGGTTCTTTGGTAATTATAAAGTTTCATTAATGTTAAATTGGTATTTAACCAATTTAATGAATTTAATATTCATTAAACGATTAATTAAAGGATATAAGCATGATATCAATCAAACATATCATGCCAAAGTGTTCATCTTCTCCAGCACAAGAACGTGAGAACGCTTGAAGATTTTGATTGATTTGTGATTGAAACAAGTCAAGTGGGTTTATTGTGGACAAATAGTGAGGCACAAATTGGAAATTATAAAGTGTCAAGGTGAGTGCAATACATGCATGAAATTATACATGGATGTTTTATACATCATCAGGAAGACTTGCGATAAGTCGGCCTTATTTATATCAGCATGATATATGTCATTTTTTTATAACTTTGATATAACATTGAAATGTCATGGTATGAAATCAAAATGCATTGATAATGAAAAATGTAATATTTTACCATGAATGTTTTCGGGTATGAACTGCCCAATGTTAAATATTGATAATATACTTTGCCATGGATAGATCAAATAAAATAGATTGTACGCCCAAGTCAGTTATTGAGGGACAGGGTATAGTTGGCATGCCATAAAGTCCAGCAACAGGCTGCATACGGGATACACTAAAGGATACCTAGTGTATATAGTGGGTACGACCTTATGTGCCATACGGGACTATACTTAAGGATACCTAGTACAGATGGTGGACACGACCTTATGTGTCATACGGGATAGCACTACGGTGCTTATAGTTGACTCGTGTACCCAGGGTCCTCAGGGTTGTATATTGGGCTATATTCTATGGTATATGGTTATGGAATAATGGCAAGTGTATTGGTAAAATAAGTTTACGAGCTTATGGAACAAATGGTAAGTATAATGGTAAGATAAGTTTACGAGCTTATGGGATAAATGGTAAGTATTTTGATAAAATAAGCTTACGAGCTTATGGTTAATAAATGGAAAAATATTGAATATGCAAATAAAATGATTTTATGGCATTTTGAATTTGACATTGAAAATCATGCATGAATTGTATTGCACTGTTTATTTTTATAATTGCTTCACTAAGTATATACTTAGCGTGTGATGATTTTCACGCGTAGGTAAAAAACCAGTAATGGAATAAAGAATTTAAAGCGTCATCAAAGATCAAGAAGTATATTTCAATATCAGTAAGACATCCTAAGATGTAATGTAGACTTAATTAGTGGCATGTAATTATTAATGTTTTATATGTTTTGTTGAACAAATTTAGAAACAAAATGGTAATTTTATGAGTTTTGTATAATGCTGAAATTACTGTAGCAGTTACTGTAGTGTATCGATGCTCTGTAGCAGTGCATCGATGCACAATATTAATTTGATGTTTTGATGCATCGATGCACTGTTCACGTTACTGTAGCGCATCGATGCACTATGTGCTGTTCACAGGTATTGTTCATCACTGTTCACGGTACTGTTCATCACTATTCATAAAAAATCTTTTGAATTAAAATTGCTATAACAAAATACAAATTATATGATATGATATTTTTATAATATCAATTACTATTTTAAGAAAATAAATTTTAAATCACCTGTAAAAGTGGAAATGGTTAAAAGAAATTCGAGTGACAACTATAATCTGTATAGGTATAATTATACGGGTTATGGGTGTTACAAACTGCCTTATGTTAATTATATGGATATACTATGCCATGGATGAAATAAATATACTATATGTTCAAGTAAGTCGTTGAATGACAGGGTACAATTGGCATGCCATAAAGTACAATGACTGTATGTTTATATTAACACTAGTGTGTAAGAACATTTAGTGCAGCACTATAGTGTATAAGGACACTAAGTGCATATGGTGGGCACGAACTTATGTGTATTGGCACTATAGTGTGTAAGCACACTTAGTGCAGCTCTGTAGTGTGTAAGGACATTTGAGGCATCTTTGACTCGAATACCCAGGGTCTTCATAGGTTTACGTTTGGGCTATGGATATTGGTAAAAATGATTATATTTATATCATTATCATGTTGATTATGGTAAAATATTGGACATGCAGGTAAGGTGATCTTATTGCATTGGAAAATGACATTTAATTTCATGCATGTGTTGTATTTCACTGTTTATTATTTTAATTGCCTCACTAAGTATATACTTAGCATGTGATGATTTTCGTGCGTAGGTACAAAGCAAACGTAAGAGTAAGGAGTACTGAGCAAGTTCAAGCATCGAGGAATATATTTACAGTATCAGTAATATATCTTTTGATGTCATTTTGATTTAGTTAGTGACATGTACCATTAATTGTCCTATTTGCTCCGTAAAACTATTTGAGAACTAGTTTGTAATAGCTAGACTAAACTGCTTTTCTATGTTTTACTATGGTTAGTATTAACTAGTATTATTATTATAAAGGGACATATTTTATATTAATATATGTTTTTAAATATTATGTGATGGTTTTATGTGATTTAATATTTTATAATAATAACTACAATTTAAAAAATTAAAAGAAACAAATTTTTAATGACTTTTGAGTTGGAAAATATTTTGAGTAACTAATGTGACATCTATAACTTGTTTATGTATAAGTATACGGGTAGTAGATGTTACACAAAATTAATTGAAAACTCTGAAAGAGTAAAACACGGTTATTAAAAGAAATGTAGCTCACAACACCTATCTCGAAGCAATGCGAAAATAGTTTATCAAGATTTTGATATTGAAAACAATTACTAACCCCTATGAAAAATATATAGGTTAAAACATATGCCGAACAAACCCAAAAACTAAAATGATAATTACAATCTCCGATTTATTCTCTTTTTCTCAAGCAATACATAATGTAGTTATCCATACTTTACGATCATAATATATGAAAACACACCAACATGATATAAATACAATATCATAATCTGGCAAGTGGCAACCATGTGATGAAAGCAAAGTTAGATAAATTGGTTTATACAGTAGTACAGCCAACAACATGGGACCATTCATATGATATATCTACTTTACAAGGTAAAATTATATAATTTATGGCCATTCCATTTCAGCAACATTATCTGTTATCCATATCTTTGGGCATGCAGCCGAGCAGGTCCACATTAACTGTCAGAAGAAAACATCAAATTCCCCCGTGATGTAAGCACCGAATTATATATATTCATCACCATCAGATATATCTGATTTGAATCAAGAAGTGCAGTTTTTTCGGAGGAGCTGATGCATTCCCATGTGCATGATCATGCCACGTGTGGGGTTTGTTTCATGATGATTGATTCCATAGGATAAGGATGGATACCTATTTTCCGAGGTGCCCACACCTCTTGTTGCTGCATTAGTTCTTACAAAGAGCTTTCAGCAACGTTGTTTGTTTCTTTGTGGAGAAAACTAGGGTCCTTTATTTTTCTTGCCAAAATGGGATTAGAAACGGCAGGAGATGGAGTGCTATGGCTTATCATTATTGCAAATGGATAAAGGTCGCCTAATCTATGGAGAAAGGGAAAATAATGATGTTGCTTTTGCTTGCCATGTTGGGTCTGTTTGTCTGAAACTTTGTATTTCAACTGCAGTTTGTTTAATTTATTGCAGTTTGGCCTTGTTGTTATCTTATCTGGTTGATCTCAACTGCAGTGAAACGGCAAAGCTGTTTGCGTGTGGAGATTGGCCTTGTTGACAATTTGTGTGAGCAGGGGCAAATCACATCTTCCATGACGGCTACCATGCCATCATTTTGTTATATTTACATCCTCCAACTAATTTTATTCTCAAAAACAAGCTTTATTGTTGTTTTAAGCGATAAGTTAACAATCTTTAGAGGATATGGGTCTAATACCTATGGAGTAAAATATTTTTACCCCACCTCTTAAGTAAAAATTGTTCAAAAAAAAGTGATGAAAACTAACTATGTATTTATTTATATTAATTCTTGTAATAATAGTATTTAAGATAGTTTATATTTAAATAGATAATGATATATTACTATTTTCCCATTGTTGTTGTCCTTGAATTGGATAGACAAAAAAAGATACAAGTGGCAAAGGGTCTTCTTGAGCAAAACATAGAAGAATTAACTGCATCTATTGCCTCTCCTTTGAGATTAATTCAACAAAGCTTCACTCAAAAGAAAATTCAAAGCATGAAATGATACGCCTCTTTTCCCATAAAGGAAGCTTCAGGTGAGGTGACCTTTCCATTTTAACTTCTCCCAAAAGCTATCAACTGCTTGGTTTCACGTGTTGTTTAAGTAATCTCATCTCCCTTTACATTCTTAAGCGTATGCCTTTGTGTCTTCTACCACACCAATCTGCTTTAGGCCCAGATTCTGTTCCTACTTATATCTCTGGTGTGGGCTGATCATCATCCTGTCTAAGAAGATAAGTAGCCCAAACATCTCAAGCAAACCATGAAACTTAAAAGTATATATAATTCTTGAAGATTTAGATTACATGAACTCGAAAAGAATGGAAACAACAATTGCATGCATATTGATAAAACTGTAAAAGAATAATCTGTAAGGCCATGGTGAAGTCAAGTAGGTTTCATGTCCTGAAACAGTGCTTCGCAAAATGTATGTTCAACGAAGTCCCCACTTGCCTTCTTCCTGCTGTTGTCACCATGAACCTTTGGGCTCCTATCATTGAGCATCAAGCTCTCCTGCAATTTCCTATCAAGGGGCCCTGATAATTTCAAGCTTCTAGGAGTGCCCAAACATCTCAAGCAAACCATGAAACTTAAAAGTATATATAATTCTTGAAGATTTAGATTACATGAACTCGAAAAGAATGGAAACAACAATTGCATGCATATTGATAAAACTGTAAAAGAATAATCTGTAAGGCCATGGTGAAGTCAAGTAGGTTTCATGTCCTGAAACAGTGCTTCCCAAAATGTATGTTCAACGAAGTCCCCACTTGCCTTCTTCCTGCTGTTGTCACCATGAACCTTTGGGCTCCTATCATTGAGCATCAAGCTCTCCTGCAATTTCCTATCAAGGGGCCCTGATAATTTCAAGCTTCTAGGAGTGACCAGCAATTTCTCTTGTCCTCTATAAGCCAAGGGACCAGATTTCGCCATTTTCCTCCTGGTTCTCTGCATTGGGTGCTCTATCTTCAGCTCCTTCTTTGACAATGCTTCTCTCCACTTATCTCTATAAGAAACCGGCGCCGGCGCCGGAAGTGCCTTTGTTGTCGTGCTGTTCTCATGGTGAACCAACTTGTTAACATACTTTAAGTACTTCCTGATTTTGTTGATTGCCGAAATGAACTTAGACAGACCATTAGAGGTTTCTCTGACTTCCTTCCTAGCAAGCTTGAGGATCTCCAGCCTATGCTTGGCAACGGAAATGCCCATGCTCTGAAGAAACTCATGGTTGAGGTATGCTAAATCCTCCTTTTGGAGCTCATTCCCAGAGAAGGCAAAGCCGTAGGTATAGACAAGTGAGGGGTCAAGGCCAGTTTTGGATAGCCAGGAGTACCAGTCCATTGCTCTGGGTGGTTGGCTTATGCCATAGGAGGGTTGTAGTATGTTATAAGATGGTTGCATGTAAGCTGTCCATGTAGCTTTAAAAGGATGGAGTAAATGTGGTGGGTGTGTAGGGATATCTTTTCTGTCATCTCTAATTGAAATTACCCACCTTTTGTGGTTGTGCTATATTCCATGTTCCTTATAATAACATTATAACAATCAAGTCAAATCTTCATAACAAAAACTAATCTTTTACATGTAAAAAAGTGTTAAATATAGGTACAAAGAAAAAAAACAAATTTATATTTAAAGATAATATTGTTGAACATTTGATCATAAACCTGAATATAAATCTTAATTAATTAATTAATATCAGCAATCACAATTTTCTAGTTAAGGAACCCAAACTCAAGAGCAGAAGACGAATAAATGAAGCCAAATACGTGTCACTTTCGAGAAAACTAACGTGAAAAACAAACTGATTAATAAATAAATAGGGAGAGCAGTCTTAGTCTTTGGGGTTTATTTAATCCAACGAAATGTTGCAACATTTAAGACCAACCACAACTTAGGCTTATCGGCTTTGGCTATCCCCACTATTGATTCATTAGTTTGTTGGTTTATTTATCGAAAATTACACATATTCGGCTTCGGCTTCGGCTTCATTTGGAGTTTATTTATTTAATGCTTAATTAAATTAATTAATTCACTCGACCACATAGTTTTAGTTAATTTCATAAAGAAAATTTTTGTGCCGATATCCTATAAAAAATGAGCTGTAGTACTGAAGAGGTATTTATTGTTTTTGCGCTGCCGTCGAAAGAGGTTCTTGCTTCTTTGGATGCCGATTCTAGGGCAGTATGTTTGGAGATATGACCAGACTTATCGTTATCTTTGGAAATATAATTTTTAGAGATAAATATTGCCGACAAATAAACCCCAAATATATAAATTAACAAACCTTATATTTCAGTTTAAGGATTCGTTGTTATCCTTTAAGGTATCGGGTTCGAACAACACAAATGTTAAAGTTGTTGTCAAACGATTTAGGGTATTTGAACAGATAATGTCTTGTATTTATTCTAAATGTATAAAAACTAATAAAGCTTAGGGTAAACTATGCGTTTAGTATTTGAACTATCAACTTTGACTTTTTTTAATACTTAAACTTTTAATTTTTGAAAATCATACCTAAAATTTAGTTTTTGTTTCATTTTAGTATCCGACTAAAAATTTAAAGTTAAATTTTGATTTTTTTTAAAAAAGTTTAGGTACTAAAACATATCAAAAATGATAGTTTGGGTATTAAACACATTAAATTTTTAACAGTGAGTACTCAAATGAAACAAAAACTAAACATTATTTATGATTTAAAAAAAATAAAAGTTAAAATAATAAAACATATCAAAACCAATAGTTTAGTTACCATGTAATTTACCTAAACCATAAAAGAAAATTAATTTTGTTATCTTTTACTTTTGTTTTAAAATTTTGCTTAAATTATGTAAATTAAAATTTACATATGAGATCTGCGATTTTGGTTGGTTGATGGTCGAAGATATTTCAAGGTGTATTTATTAGGCACCACATGCTTCAGTTTCTCAAAGAGCCATCTTCAAAAGGATGGAATCAGAAATATCAAAGTTCGGGCCCTCACCCTTGGTGCCTTGTGTCCAAGAGTTAGCAAAGAAGGCATTGAAACAAGTTCCTCCTCGATACGCACGTACCGATGAAGACTCTCCCATCGTATCTCACACAAATCCGTCGCCACAAGTTCCTGTTATTGATATGCACATGTTATCTTCCCAGGAAGAGAGGGATCGCTTGCATCATACATGCAAAGAATAGGGTTTCTTCCAGGTACTTGTTTTCTCCTAGACTGAGACTTTGGGCCGCTTTAAGATTAAAGGACGAAACTGTGTGTTGCAGTTGGTCAACCATGGAGTGAGCACTTCACTGGTGGAAAAAATGAAGATGGAGGTCCAACAGTTTTTCAATCTTCCAATGGGAGAGAAGAAGAAGCTTTGGCCAAAACCAGGTGAAATAGAAGGTTTTGGACAGGCCTTTGTTGTGTCTGAAGAGCAAAAGCTTAACTGGGGAGATAGGTTCTACATGATTACCCTTCCAACTTATTTGAGAAACCCGCACTTGTTCCCTAATCTCCATCTCGCCTTCAGGTTCTTTTCAACTGCATCTGTCAGGTACAATTAATTCATAGCATCCGTTTTATCTTTTCTTAAATAAATAAATGATTGCAGAGAAACCATGGAAGCTTATTCAGTAGAACTGAAACATCTGGCCATGAAGCTATTGGACTTGATGGCAGAAGCTTTAGGGATGGACCCTAATGACATGAGATTGTTGTTTGAGGAAGGTCACCAAGGGATTAGGATGAACAATTATCCTCCATGCCCAGAGCCGGAGCTTGCAATCGGTCTGAGCTCTCACTCTGACGCCGTTGGACTCACCATTCTAGTCCAGGTGAACGAGATGGAAGGTCTCCAGATAAAGAAAAATGGGGTTTGGGTTCCCATCAAACCACTTCCGAATGCTTTTGTGGTCAACATCGGAGACATTATGGAGGTAATCACTAATTTTTGCCTGCCAACCATTTTCTATTTCCAGTTAGTTCCATATGATGAATAATATTTGGTATTTCTGAGGTTGCAGATAATATCGAATGGGATTTACAAAAGTGTTGAGCATCGTGCGACGGTGAACTCGGACAAAGAAAGAGTACCAGTTGCCACATTCTACAACCCCAAACTGGACGGAGAAATGGGACCAGCACCAAGCCTAATTACTCCACAAACTCCACCCCTGTTCAAAAGAATTAGTGTTGCTGATTACTACAGTGGTTTGTACTCCCGCGAGCTCCGTGGAAAATTCTATTGTGTTTGGTTCACGGAATGTAAGATTATTGGTGGGAATAAAAGATTAACAGGGAATAGGATTACTGAGAATGTTGTATTTTGTGTTTGGTTGGTTTAACAGGAATGTAAGATTACCGTGTTTGGTTAAAAGAATAAAAAGTTATTGGAATGTATATTTAACCAAATTGTCCTTATTATATATTTGTTTTTCTAACAAGTTGAAAAATATTTATATATTTAAAAAAAAATTATAAATTTTATATAATTTTTTTACAAAATTGAAAATATAAAAAGGTTTAATGAAAGAGTAAAATTTTATTTTAACCCCTGAACTTCATATAAAATTTTAATTATATATTGTTTTTGTAAATCTAAAATAGTTTAAGAATAAATTTGTAATTTAACATTCGTAGAATTTTTATTATTCAATGACAAAATAAGTATATTTTTGAAAGAATTTTTTTAATGACATTTTAGTCCAAAACGCTGGTAATTCAACAATACCTAAGGAAAGGGAGGTAATGACATTCCTGGTAATATACCCCAAAAAATCCACTATTGATAATGTAAAATTACTGGGAATGATATTTCATGCCAACCAAACGGGGGAATGTGGATTTCATTCCAATAAAAATCTCACATTTACCTAACCAAACACACTCTAAGGGTGCATTTGAACCAGTAATCAATTAACATCATCAAGCTTCTGTTTAGACTTGTACTTAAACAGGGGATCATCCACTATGCTTAACATGATATTTGTACTTGAAAGAAATTTTTGTTAAGCTTTCTTTCTTGTCTTTCTTCTTCAGTTTTCCATACAATTCTTCTTTTCGCTTATTCAAATTTTCTTTTAATTGAAAGCAAGACGAATCAAAATATAAGTTCACGAGTATAGTTTGAAATCCTTTTTAAGTACACTACAGTAAAATAGAGTTTTAGCGGCGTTTTTAAGCTCCGCTGAAAACACTTGCGGCAATAGGAAAAACGCCGTAAGAAGTGTCGACCATACCAGCGTCACTAAAGTTAGCGGCGTTTGAGAACAAAAATTGCTGCAATAGGTCAAGATCTATAGCGGCGTTTTGGAACAAACGCCAAACGCCGCAAAAGGTCGAGATCTATAGCGTCATTTTTGGAACAAACGTCGTAAAAGGTCAAGATCTATAGCGACATTTTTTAGAACAAACCCGCAAAAGGTCAGATCTATAACGGCGTTTTTGAAACAAACACCACAAAAGATCAAATCTATAGCGGCATTTTGAGATACAAATGCCGCTAATTACCTTTCTTTAGTTAAGATGATTTTGCATATTTCATTTATGCTCTACATCACTTAAATTTAATATCATCTAGCTTTATCTAATTAACAACAACCATACATTTTAATAAAGGCACGAGTTATGCAGAAAAATACTTAATAACAAAATAAATTAAAATTTATAAACATTAAAATTAAATGTAATGTAGTTTGACATTGTTCTCTAGAATTTAGTCTACTTTCTTTCACTTTCAATTAAAAAAATATTGTTCACTACCATTTAGTCTTCATTGCTCCTTCGTGGGGAAAGAAAGTAAAAAATCCCCTAGCTCCGGTTCATCAAGAAGACTCCTTGCATGGACTTTTGCTTCAACCAAGCCTTGGCACGTGAGGCTGGTTGGACAGTTGAGCCCGACGTCACCACTTACCGACACTCTCCTATGCTCCAAAATCAACAAAATTTGGGAACTTATTCAACGAGGTCAGGTGATAGTCCATTATCATCCAATCCTTTGAAGAAATGCTTACAAGAAGGGAAACATATAAATGGAAAGTTGTCTTTAGCACACGTAAAACCAGCTCTTTCTGTTGCTCATGTTGATCATAATGGATCCAAGGAGATCAATTCGAAAGGGTATTCCAATGTAAAATTGTCCGAAGTGGTGGGAAGTAGAAGAAACGGGTTTAATAATCAGTCAAAGGAAGGCCAACCAAATATCGTCAATGGGTTCAGAAAGGGTTGTTACACGATTTTTATCGAGAACCTTCCAGAGAAGATCCATTGGAAGAGACTTGGATCTATATTTGGCTCACATGGTCAAGTTATTGATGCATTCATTCCCAAAAAAAGAAACTCGAAAGGGTTTCGCTTTGGGTTTATTCGCTTTGCTACAATAGAAGAAGCAAGGACAACGATTTCTAAGATGAATGGTAATCATATTTACGGCAACAAAATTAGAGTCTCTCTGGCTAAATATAAACCTAGACAGTCTTTCTGGCGAAAGTCCTCGACAGCTGTTCAAAGTAAGTCTGAGATGGAAGATCTTCCGAGGTTTAAACACTGTGAAGTTGAGGGTGCTTTGGACGAAGATAAACTTCAAGTGTTGAACAACTGTCTTGTTGGGTGGTGCAAGAACTTTATCAAGATTGATAATCTTGCTAACCAAATACAAGCCAAAGGACTAGCGGGTTTCACGCTAATGAGAGCTGCTGGAAATGTAGTTCTAATGGTTTTTGAGGATTCAGATTTGTTGAGAAGCGTGAAGGAAGATAAGTTAGAGACTCTTGCAGAATGGTTTTCCAGAGTGGAAACTTGGTCAGAGAGTCTTGTGGTGGAGAGTCGGTGCGTGTGGTTAATTTGTGAAGGTATTCCTTTTCACGCTTGGAATTGGGATACTTTCAAAAACATAGCTACTAAGTGGGGCAAGTTAATAGCAATTGATAACAGTTGTGAGTTCCCTTCGTCTTTTGACCGGGCTAAAATTCAAATACTCACAAATGCTCAAGGGAGAATTGATGAATTGTTAGAGTTGAAGGTCGGGGATAATTTATTCAAAATCTTGGTGCATGAAGTTGACCCTTCCTTCAAACCAAATTCTTGGGTCCCTAAAAATTGCGATATCTCTTTAGAACTTGTTCCTCCAATTGGACTGTGATTGTTCGACAGCTGTATTCAGAGGCATTTTTTAGTTTGTGGTTGTAATTATTGGTTTTTGTTTTGCTATGTTATCTTACATCTTGAGGTGTATTTTAGAAATAGGATTATTGTCTTAGGGGATTTTTGTTTGAAGATGTAAGATTTTTAGGTGATATGGTCTGTATTGGTTTTTATTCCCCTTTGAGGGTTCGATGTTACCACTTGTACTTGGTCTTCTATTTAATAAAATATGAGGTACTCTTTTCTCCCTTCCAGTGTTCTTCAACATACTTCTAAGTATATGGAAGAATATGAAGGGAGTTTTTAATGAGACCTCCAACTTCTATCAAAAAAAGAAAAGAAATACTAATAAGAATCAACAGGAAGCTTAATATAGAGAAAAAAAGGAAACATTTGGCATATAATCAACCGGCAGAAATCCATAACTCTGAAGAGAATTTCACTTTTCACAAGATACAATAAATATGATGGAACAAAATAGACAGCCCACCCAGACCACAAAACAGGCTTCATTAACAGATGACTATCGGCATTCAGCAAGTTATTTTACTAAGAAAAAATGTAAATACAAAAGGTTTCATGTAAATACAAAATTCATGAAGCATCCAACAAATCCATGAATTTGATAAATAAATACGAATGTTGTATGAGACTATGAGTACTATAAAGTATAAACAAATGAACCTGTTTAAGTTCTCCATTGCAAACCACAGTATTTTATAATGAAATGTTTCTTAGAGTAGAGAACTTCAGAAAATTAGACACTAACTTCTTAAAGATGCTCGCAACCATTGCTCAAAGAAATGAAATCAGAAACCTACTCAAGCTTTAACATTAAGCAACGCTGACAAAGCACATCCTGCAGATTAACATGGTAGACCGCATGTAAGATGGACATTAACCAGAACACATTCACAATTATATACTCTACCGCATATTCAGAATATGTTATAATCGGGTAAGTAACGTCAAAGGGACATTTAGCTTATCCAGGATATTAAAACTTAAAGTTCACAATTGCAAAATGTCTTGAGCTTCAATGTTAACTTTCACAACTTAGTTTACCTGTAAATGGTAAAGTATTTCATGATTCAAAGGAAGCTTCTCATCAATATCAAGATCAAGGTAAGCACGTATCTCTCGTAACCTTGCATCCAAACCCTTCAAAGCAGTGAGTTTTCCAGTGACCTGTAGAAAAGACAATGGTCTATGTACACTCTCTTTGTCATAGTTCAAAGAAAGCTTCAACACTAGGAGCTTTTATTATGAATGTAATTAGATTTGACAGTAAAATAAAACTAAGAAAGAAAGAAAGAAACCTCATTTGCTAGTGTACTGATAGTTGTATCCTTTACATCCCTAAGCAAGTGTTCCACTCCTGTTTATGAGTGAAAAAGGAGTAATAAGCAACCAAATTAATGGTTAACTAATCCAAACTATTAGCATCTTAACCACAAGGATAATATCCTGAAAAGATAACACTAAATTTCATCAAATGGCATACCAATCTCCTCAATTTCGTGAGCAGCAAATTCAGAAGGAACGTGAACAAAAACCTTTTGGCTCTTTTGAGTGGCATTATGCAACAATACTGGCATATTAGTTAAAATGCTCCCCCAGTACGACCAAAGGTGGCAGCTTCTTTAAAAAATTATCGTTAGTTTTGCATGTCTGCCTCAACAGGTAAGCCCCTTGGTTCCACAAGATAAAAGAAAAAGATGCACTCAGATTGTTCGTACCAACTTAACCTCCTCAACATCATAGTACCTTAGTGGGTATCCCCAACTCCTTAGGTTGGACATCAATAATCACCATGACAGGATTTGGGACATAGCTGAACACCAGAAGAGCTTGATTAATCGAATGAAGTAAAAAAATAAAATAAAATAAAGAACAAAATAATAAGCCAAAACTAATAGTCGTACTTATGGAATAATCTATGAATGTCTAGATCATTCTTCCGTAATTTTGGGCCTGTACTATACCAACCAACAACATGCTTCTTCGCTGCGACAAATATCAGAGGTGCACATATCATGTAATGAAGGATGACACTTCCCCCTCCCGTTCCCAGACAAAACAAGAAAGGAGAGAAATAACAAATTAAAATTGGCACCATTATTTACTCTGAGTTGAGAAAAGAGTTACCATTAATCCTCTTAAACAT